TTTTTTTAGGTAGCAGTCATCTGATAAGTACATCTTCTTGGCGAGATGGACAAAAATTAGTAAAGAAAATTCTGGGACCTGCACCTAGAATAGAGCAAAAAGAGCGACGAATAGCATCAAGTGACAGAAGTGGAAGAGAAAGAACTACTAAATCTGGTGAGTAATTAAATTAATAAATTAAATTACTCAACCATTAAAATTGTTGAGCAAAGCAATTAAAAGTTGCTTGTGTAAGTACTTTGAGAGGGGAAAATACTCTTTTAAGAATGCTCTTAAGACTTTGCATTATAATTGTGAATGTAGCTCAAAAAAGAAGGAATTGGGCTTGTCTGTGGATAATTTCCATATATAGATGTTATGATGATCTTTATTAAGAATTCTGTTTGTGTTATATTAATTACATTTAGCTGTCATTATGAATAAATAGCAAAGCATCATGTAATCAAATCTTATTAGACCTTTGGAGAATCAAGTCCAATCTGTCTTATCTCCACAGACATAAACACAGGTAGACATTCACAAGGTTGGATTTTTTTTGTTGTTGTTTGACAGATTAGGAAACAGGCTCTGAGAGAGAAGTGAGTTTTCTCAACGGTATACAGTCAGTGGGTGACAAAATCTGATCTAGATCCACAGGTCTTTAGTTTGACCCTCAAGTCCATTGCTGTTTTCTTTTTGAAACATCTTGAGTGACATTTGAAATAACTAGTTACTTTTTCACTAATGAGCACTAATTTTGGGAAATGAAATATAAATACCTACAAACCCGCTTTCCTCTTCAATGGCAAAAATTTGCCTGAATTTGAGCTTCTGGAATGGATTCAGTAAGAGATGCAATTTGGTATATAGAAGTCAATATATATTTTGTGTTTGTTCCTCTTCGCTTTCATCTAGCTTATAAATAAACTCACACTCTCCTTAGCCTAAATTTAAGCCACATCAACACACATTTAGATGATAAAATGATTGTTTTTCTATATATTTAATTTTTTCTGTTATTCATTGGAGAGTTGTGGCAACCTGTAACATTGTCAGGTTTTTTTTTTTCTTCGGTACACGGGCCTCTCACTGTTGTGGCCTCTCCCATTGCGGAGCACAGGCTCCGGACGCGCAGGCTCAGCGGCCATGGCTCACGGGCCTAGCCTTTTCGTGGCATGTGTGATCTTCCCGATCTGGGGCATGAACCCGCGTCCTCTGCATCGGCAGGCGGACTCTCAACCACTGCGCCACTAGGGAAGCCCACATTGTCAGTTTTTTAACAACTGTTTGAGGGTTTGGTGAGGGAGAGAAATAGTAACATTAAATATGCATATGTGAGAGAAATAGTAATTCTCTATTCATATTAATAGTTAAATATTCATATCAACAGCAAGATATGTCCTTATTTCAGAAGTATTAAAAGATGCACTTTTTAAAAATGCCGAGGAAGTATAGTTTCTAAGAGTATTGAAATTCTTCTCTTACTGGTTTTCTTTCCTTCTAAAATATTCCTTAGGAGACTTTATAGGATATTTGAATTTGAGTTTAAGATAAAGCAAAATTCCTAATTTTCTCCTTAGTGTGATAAATCTTAGGAATGAATATAGAATCTTAATACATCACTAACAGTTCATACTTTGTAGGGGGTCATATTGGAAGAGCAGAATCGGATCCCAGATTGGATGCTTCACATAGACATCTTCCACGAAACTCAGAACGTTCAAGAAGTAGAGCTCGGTCAGAAAATAATGTAAAGAAATTAGTTCCATCTCTTCCAGATAATAAACAGGAGGAAAATGCTGCCTTAAATAAGGACTTTTTACCTGTTGAAATTCGTGGAATTCTTGATGACCTACAGCTGGATTCAGCAGCTCAGGCTGCAAGGCAAGAGGCAGGAGAGTTACAGAATCAGAAGCCATCAGCATCAATACAAGCTCCTAGGAGTCATAGCCCAATAAAAAGAAAACCTGACAAAATAACAGCTAATGAAGATCCCCCTGTTATTTCCAAAAAGCGTCACTATGATACAGATGAGGTACGACAGTACATTGTTAGACAGCAGGAGGAAAGGAAGAGGAAGCAAAATGAGGAGAAGAAGGCTCAAAAGGAGGCCACGGAACAGAAGAACAAACGATTACAGGAGCTCTACCGGAAACAAAAAGAAGCCTTTACTAAAGTGAAAAATGTGCCTCCTTCTGAGCCATCAGCAAATAGGCGACTGCAGGAAACTTATTCCAAATTGCTTCTAGAAAAGTCATTGCTTGAAGAGCCAACTCATAAACATATGCAGGAAACACAGGTAATAGTAGTGACAGAAATACAAAGGGAAGTAATTCATAGTTAGGAAAAACTTACTTGCTATACTTTTAAAAACTTACTCACCATTCCTAATATTCAAACATATGCTCAGACAGTATTTATAATAATGATGGCCTTTCATGAGGTTTATTCTAGATAAATACGATTGAAAGCAAGTGCTCAATTAGTTTCCTAGAGTGATTGTTACTGATCTGTCTCATCACTGCTGTTAGTTCTATCCTTGCCTAGTTTTTACTGTATTACTGAGCAAAGTTAGACTGTATTAATGAAAAGCCTAGTTTTGTTATCTGTGTTGAAATTAGAGAATATCCTACTTTAGTGTGCTAATTTTATGACTATTGCTGTTGTTTTTAAGGGTAAGAATAACATTTGAGTCTGTACAATATGCCACATACTGTTTTAAATGTTTTACAGGCTTAAGTTTCAGTAAATTCTCACAGCCCTGAGAAAGGTAGGTACTACTAGTATTTCCACTTATTAGGTGAAAAAACTGAGGTTTAGAAAGAGTATTATTTCCTACGAATTATGCAGTGTTAGGTGCCTTTGTTGGATTTCAGGTGTAATTTTGCTGTTAACTGTAATGGCTGCTTTTAAGACAAACTAAATTTGAATTGGTTTTATTTGAGAGAAAAAAGCTCCTGCATTTCGTGATCTTTGTAAAGTTGAAGCAACTTAATATTTATTTTATGTGCTCCTTGAATATATCTTTATGATGGGAGTCAGATAACTTTGATGTCCTTTTTTCTTAGATCAGACCAGGGTATCAGCCATCTGGAGAATCTGACAAAGAGAACAAAGTGCAGGAGCGTCCCCCAAGTGCATCTTCCAGTAGTGACATGTCTCTGTCAGAACCTCCACAGCCTCTCGCAAGGTAAAAAGGGGAGAATGAAAGATGATTAAGGTTCTTTCTTTCCACGATATCAGTATAGTGGTCTATGCTCAGTGAATTTTATTGATTGACCTTCTTGTGAAGGAGAGGTTTATTTAGAAATTGGTTAATATCTTCTGATGGATATTTAAACATGGTATACATCTATACTTACTGCATGCTCTATTCTATTGTTCAACTCTTGCCTGTTCTTTAATATCTGGTGTAAATATCAGTTCTCCTGGGGATCACCTGCAGTTGGAAGCACTCTTGCCTTCTCTGACGTAAACACAGATAAATGTTTGTCAGATAAATGAATCACAGTGAAATTAATAGTTTTAAGTATTGTGTTGAATATTTTTCAAAAGGCATTTCTGTATCCATAACTATTCAAAATTTCTTCATGTGACTGTTATATCAACATATCTTACCTCTCAAAGACTATATTTGGATATGCCTATGAACACACGGACAAGGACTAAAAAGGGATTTGATTTGAATTCAGATTGGTGAATGAGGGCTATTTTACCTTAAATTAAGAAAAAAAATTTTTGTTTGCTGTAAAGTGTGCAGTAAAGTAAAAAGAAAAAAATAACAAAAAAACCTATTTGTCCATGAAAGTTAAGATGATTTTCAGATTACATGGTTATAAGTTCTACTTTGAAATAACCGTTTTGGGAATAAAAATCAAGTCACTTAACCAGTTTTGGGTTAATACATATGATCCTCTCGCCCCCTTGCTGCCCCCTTTACCTCCCAAGAGAATAATAATATTGATAAAAATAGCTAACATTTATTGTTTGTTACATTTCAGTCTCTGATCTAAGTACTTTGCCTGTATCATTTTATGTAATCCTCGTAGTTCTTTGAGTTCTCTCAGTTAGTTTGGGCTTAAAAGCACAGCATTTCTTTTTCTTGCCCTTCATGTTCCATCATTCTGCATTAGCTACCTGGAAAGCTCCAAATTACCTATCTGACCTTGAAGACCTTGAAGATCTAGCTCAAAAATCAATTTCCTTGGCTATCAGAGTTCATTGTTCCCTATCTGTACCTTATTCAACTTTATATGTCTTTATATTAGTACTTAACGACATCGTGTTTAGCTGTTTATTAGTCTCTCATCCCTGCTAGATCTTCTGAAACTGAAGAGTAAGGATTAGGTCATAACTGGATTAAATCTTTCCATTTTTGTGTACTGCTATTCCTCTGCCATCAACATAGAGCCTGCCACAAAATTGTCATTCTAACTACTTGAATTTAAAGATCTTGGGTTTTTATTCAGCAGTACCTTTTTATTTATAACTTCCTTTGTATTTCTGTTTCTACCAGCTTAATTTGGGCACTAATAACCTCACACCTTGCCTTTGTAATAGTCTATATTCTGTGATATAGAATCTATTCACTAGTCTTCCTTTATTCTGCTTTCATAGCAGTCATTCAGTATACAAGACTGCTACCACATAACCTTCAACGAAACCTTGTATTACATGCCTTTCATTTCCCTCATCACCCTGGTTACCCTCCTCCAGATGATTTTTTTTGAATTTAATTGGTAAGACTTCATATTAATTCATACTAGTTTGGTCTAAGGTTGCAGCCTGTCTAAATAACTTTGAATCATAACTCAATAATTTGTTGGGTTAGCCATGCCTCCTAACTTTCTGTCATCTACAAACTTGATAAGCATGTCTTCATGTCATCATCCAAAAATAATGGACAAGACCAAGGACAAAATCTCATGTTATTTTTTCTAAGGATCTTCTTAATAGTTAACAACAGTCTTTAACCTTTGTATAGTATTCCTTAATATACAGGGAGGTTGTCTATAATCTGGAAATATAAGTGAATTATATAATGTCATCTAGGGCATCTGTTTCTAACCTTTAAGGACGCCCTATCAATTTTTCTTAGAACTAGATTGTAATAATCTCATTTCTTTAGTATGTACAATGCTAAACATAACTGTTTGGTGTTTATTAAATATGTGTTGGTTAGAGTAATATCATGCCTACAATCTTAAGCATTTCTCTTTTATGTAACATTATTTTTAAAGAGAAAGGTAGAGCCAATATTGTAAAAAATTTTGTCCACAGAGTTTTAAGGGTTATAATGCCTTCTCCTCAATAGTTTAAAAAATGTGTCTTAGTTGAAGAAAGCTGTTTACAAAACAGTATGTATGATAAGATTTCATTTTCGTGAAAATAACATGAAACACAACATACATGTAGAAAAATGTTCAGAAAGATATAATTCTTTTTTATAAAATTTATTTATGGCTGCATTGGGTCTTCATTGCTGCGTGCAGGCTTTTCTCTAGTTGCGTCGAGCAGGGGCTGCTCTTCGTTGCAGTGCACAGACTTCTCATTGCAGTGGCTTCTCGTTGCAGAGCACGGGCTCTAGGCGCGTGGGCTTCAGTAGTTGTGGCACGCAGGCTCAGTAGTTGTGGCACACGGGATTAGTTGCTCTGCAGCATGTGGAATCATCCTGGACCAGGGCTCAAACCCATGTCCCCTGCATTGGCAGGCAGATTCTTAACCACTGTGCCACCAGGGAAGTCCTAGAAAGATATAATGAAATAGTGATAGTGCCTCTTTCTCATTGGTTAGCTATGAGTGATCTTTATCTTTTTTATCCTTTGTCTGTCTGTCTTTTTTTTTTTTTTTTTTTTGTGCCGTAGCTATTCATTACTCTTATAATCAGAAAAAACAAAACTTAAAAAAAAGGTGGCTTAGTTATGAGGTCCTGTGTTAACTAACATATTGTAACTTTCATTTCCAGAAGGGATTTGATGGATCCTACATGGATGCAGCCTGACAGACTGAGTCCACGAGTCCACCATTCTCAACCACAGCCTCTTGTTGGAACAGCTGGAAATTTACTTTCCCATCTCTTGAGTCTAGAGCATGTAGGAATTTTGCATAAGGATTTTGAATCTATTTTACCAACTAGGAAGAATCATAGTATGGCTTCAGGGCCATTAACTTTTACACCTCAACCATATCTGACCTCACCAGCTGCTCATCCAGATGCCTTGTTAAAACCTAGTGCTAGCCAATATAAGAGTAAACTGGATCGTATTGAAGCCTTGAAAGCAACAGCTGCTTCTTTGTCCAGCAGGATTGAAAGTGAAGCTAAGAAATTAGCTGGGGCTAACATTAACTATGGGTCAGTATGGAACACTGAGTATGATGTGCAGCGAACACCCCAAGAAGATGGACATTGGACCAAGGCTATAAGTCCACTTGTGAAAGAGGATGCAGAAGATGTTTTCTCTGCTCGAATTCAAAAGATGCTGGGAACCTGTGTGTCTCATGCAACTTTTGATGATGATCTTCCTGGTGTAGGCAACCTTAGTGAATTTAAAAAGCTTCCTGAGATGATAAGACCTCATAGTGCCGTATCAAGCTTCAGAATGAGATCCCCTGGTCCCAAACCAGAAGGGCTGCTGGCACAGTTGTGTAAGAGGCAGACTGACTCTTCTAGCTCTGATATGCAAGCTTGTTCTCAAGACAAAGCCAAAATGTCTCTTGGTTCCAGCACAGATTCAGTGAGTGAAGGGCCTCTTCTTAGTGAGGGTAGTCTCTCTGAAGAAGAGGGAGGTCAAGATGGACGGTCCCCTTTGAAGTTAACAGAAATCTTAAAAGAAAAGGAATTTTGTGCTGGAGAAAGAAATGCTTATGAACCCATCAAAGAGTTTCAGAAGGAAGCTGAAAAATTTTTGCCACTCTTTGGGCCCATAGGTGGTACACAAAGCAAAGGACCATGGGAAGAATTGGCAAAGGGAAGTCCACATAGTGTCATTAATATTTTTACAAAATCGTATAAATTATATGGAAAAGGTGAGAAAAATAAGTAACCCTTGTAATATTTGTATGTTATCTTAAGATAAATTATTTCACAATTCTGTACAAGATAATATTTAACTGTAAATTTTCATCATTCATTACAAGGATAGTAGAGATTTATTATTGTCCAAATTAATCTTGAGTTATCTGCAAGCTTCAACTAGAGTATTCTAACTTAATCTTTAAAATTTTAGTTTTTAGCTGTTATTGTCATAAAACAATGGTTGGTGGTTATAGAAATTTTGGTCTAATTTAGAGAAATTCTTAGGTGATGTTCAGGATTGGTATGTATCAAGTGTAGACTAGGTTTACTGTGACCAGAGTTATATCTTTAGATAGAAAATAAGTATATTTCTTAAAACAGTGATTTGTGTGTGAATCACTGGGAATATAGTGGTCAAGGATTGAGAGGGGCAACTGCAGTAACATTTCTAATGTGGAAACAGATCTATTACTGTTTGTCAAAACTAATTTTAAAAACAGACTTTGAGAGTAGTGTAGCTATGTATTTGGGTCCTGAAACAATAACTTTTAAAGTTCCCTTCTTATCCCTGAAATCCTGCAACACAACTTTTCCTTTTCTGTGGTGGCCTCAATTCCTTCAAGTCCCTTTCTCTGTTCTTCTACTGTAGGTGGATTCTACACATCTTATGCTAGTATAACCTTAGAATTCCCAGGTTGGAGAGAGAGGCTGAGCCCTAAGTCAGCCATGGATACTGTGGTTTTTCATTTCCATCAACTTATCTGACAAATGAATTGATTTCATCTGTTCAGCTTATGCTTAATTGGGTATCCCATTGCATTTTCCTAGAATTTATATTTAGCCACTTTGGTATGATGTTGTGCAGACATATATGTGCTTTTGATCTCTTTTGTTTAACACTTATTTCTATAGGTGATAATTTTAAAGTTCTTTGGATATTAAAGTTCTTTTGGTTATAGCAAAGTGCTTTTAAATCAACACCCTCCATTTTTTTCCACAAGAAAGTTGGATTTGTTCTTAAATCCTTCTGTTAGATTTTCATTAAGATATTATACTGAAATGTTTAGAGTTGAAATGATCTGTTATCTGGGATTTGTTTCAAAGTAATATTTGGGGAGAGTTACAGATGGAGGGAATAGGAAGTTTAATTGAAACTAGATTGGTCATGTATTGATAATTGTTAAAGGTGGGTGATGGATGCACTGGTTTCATTATATGATTCTCTCTACTGTCATGTATGTTTGAAAATTTCCCTAAAAAAAATTAAAAATGTATTGTTAGATATAAAGATAACTTGAAAAGAAACCCTAATGAAGGCAAACTAAAATGTCCCTAAATCCGTGTTGTTAATCTCCAGGTTATGGAATGCGTTGCTTATAGTTTTTTAAATTTTTGTTTTAAAACACATTTTAATTATTACTTTTGACAGGATTTGAAGACAGGTTGGAAAGAGGAACATCAGCATCACGGTCTTTGAATGCCATCACAACCCCTCTAAGCAGCATTTCATATGAAGATGATTTTATTTCCTCTACAGGGAGTGGGACTTTGACAGAAAAAAAGTCAGCTCTTGAACCCAAGTAAGAAGAATATGTTGACAATATGGAGCAAAATCTGAAGAGTGAGAAAAATGTACAAATGAGAACTATGGTCTGAATATTTGTCAAATTTTCCTTGTTTAAAGATAGCATAGTGGTTATTAAGAGTGTGGGCTCTGGATCCAGACTGTGTGGGTTTAAATACTGGCTCTCCTAATTATTAGTTGTTTGTCTTTGGGCATATTGCTTAATTTCCCTGTGCCTCAGTTTTCTTCTCTGTTAAAGTGTTATGAATATTCAGTGAAATACAAAGTATGTAGAACAGGGCCTGGCACATAATAAGCAAAATACAGGTTGTTAAATCAATCTGTGAATCCCCAGTAGAGGTTAGTATTGGGAAAACTATCCCATGGTATATTAATGTGAGATGATTAAGAAATGGTTTTCTGTGATAGAATTGAAGATGACGAGATAGACCCTTGACTTCATGATCCTAAGTAATTAGTAAATATTTTTATAATTGGGATAACATCTAAAATTTTGCAAATCTTTGAAAAATAGCAACATTATAACGTTAATATTTATTGAGCACTTAATGTACAAGGCACTGAGAGGACTGAGTGGGCTTTATCTGTATTAACTCATTCTTACGATAGCCTGATATAAGTATTTTTGTTATTATTCCTACTTGAGAGAGGAAACTGAAGCACTAAGGTTGTTACTTGTACAGCGTCATATAGTAAGTGAATCAGATTTTGCCAGAGAGAATTTCCTCCCTAAATTTTGTTACCATATAAAATAATCTGTGATTACTCACATGCAGTGTAACTTTCTTCACAAATTACAAATTGTAATGCACATAAAATTATTGGATGATCTTTTAAAAATTAGTTATATCTAGCTGGATTAATGAAAATAAGTATTATTAAGATTATAGCAAGAGAAGTATAATTTTAAATTTTGAACTTTAAAGAAAAGACTAATTTTTAAATCAAGACTTGCAAGGATTTAATTGTGTTGACATTTAATATCACTAGTCAATATGATTTATTGCATTTTATTTCTCAGTTGAAGTAGAGCATATTGAATTATTGTTCCCTGTAAGATTATCAGAAGGAAGTTAATAAATTATAAATTTGAATAGAAATTGAGGCCACATTTTTCAGTATCCAACATTATATTTTTTTCTCTTATGTGTCTGAATTACCCATTTTTATTGGTTTCACTTCAGTAAAAAACTGCCTGAGACTTTTCTCAGTAATAAATTGAGCCATAGGGAATAATCCAGGTTTCTGGTAGTAAGAAACCAAGAAAAGTGGAAAGCGTGTTTGATTATAGTTATATTCTCCTTGTGACTAAATAGATTTTGAAATATCTATAGTTTGAGCTGTGATTTGAGACTTTTTATTTCTTGCTTTAACCACTATTACTTATTCTTTGACAGTATTGGTAGTAACAGTTTAGGCATTCAGGAGGATCATTCTAGCAGAAAGTCTGCCTATGATCTTTCCTCTGTGGATGTTACCTCCCAGCACTCATCAGGGGCCCAGTCTGCTGCGTCGTCTCGTTCATCTTCTTCTTCTAAAGGAAAGAAAGGAAAAAAGGAAAAGATAGAATGTAAGTGGAATTCTACATGGTAATTTTTTTCTCTTACCAGTGACTTTGTGATAGTGATCTAAAGTTATGATTTCATTTCATAAGTTAGATGAATTCTTTATGATAATGTAATTGGCTTTCATATTTATCATTACGATACCTTTTGATATATGACATTATAAATCTTACGCTTAGTACAAAAGGAATACATTAACAATGATAAAAAATTAAGGTTTGTAGATAAATAATCATGCAAGGAACATAAATCCCTATTGATTCTTCTGCTCAGAGGTAACTACTATTAATGTTTTTGGTGCCTATTTTTCCAGTATATACATAAAATCAGGCACACTCCCACATACCTTTTTATTTAAAAAACAGAAGTGAAATCATATTGTCTTGCAAGTGCTTTTTAAAAAACTTTATATCATGGACATTTCTGAGTTATTAAATAAGTATAATACTCAAGTTTCCTTATCTATAAAGTGAAGATGAGAGTAGGTGCTTTATATGGTAATTTCGAAGCTTACATTTATAATATGTACATCTCATTTGCTCTGTAAGCCTAGAGGTGAGAAGATAACAGTAATTAGGCAAAGGCTTCTTAAGCTCACCGGGTGGTCCCTAGGGAATGATTTTGCCTCCAAAACTATTTTTTCTGATAGTAAAAAATTGCTCATTGAGTTAAAAAAAAAAAAAAAGAAAAGGGGGAGGAGAAATCTGTAAATATAGAAAATATTTAAAAATTAAAAATCACCTGTATTCCCTCTACCTAGAGATAACCAATGTTAACATTTTTTTAGGTTTTATTTTAGTTTATTGTGGTAAAATATACATAATGTAAACTTCATCATTTTAACCATTTTCAAGTGTACAATACAGTGCTGTTAAGCACATTCACAGTGTTGTACAACCATCGTCATTACCTAATTCCAGAACTTTTTCATCATCCCATGCTGAAACTCTGAACCCATTAAGCAGCAATTTCCCTTTCCTGCCTTCCCTGAGCCTCTGTTAACCACTGTTTTACTTTCTGTCTCTATGAAATTGACTACTCTAGGTGCTTCATATAATTGGCATCATGCAATATTCGTCTTTGTGTGTCTGGCTTATTTCATTTCACATAATGTCTTCAAATTTCATCCATGTTGTAGCATGTGTCAGAATGTCCTTCCTTTTTAAGGCTGAATAATATTCCATTATATGTATATACCACGTTTTGTGTATTCTTTCATCAGTTGATGGATATCTTAGTTGTTTCAACCTTTCGGCTATTGGGAATAATGTGGACATGAACACTGGTGTGCAAATACCGTTTGAATCCCTACTTTCAGTTCTTTTGTGTATATACCCAGTTGTAGACTTGCTGGATCAAAAGGCATTTCTATATTTATTTTTTTGAGGAACTGCCATACAGTTTTCCATAGCAGCTACAACCTTTTACATTCTCACCAGTAGTGCACAAGGGTTCCAGTTGCTCCACATACATACTAAAATAACCCTTGTTGTGTTCTGGGTTTTTGTTTTTTTGAAGAACAGACATTCTACTGGATGTGAAATGTTAACGTTTTTAGTAAGAATCCTTCTAGACAATTAGTAGGCATATGTAAATAGAAAACGTTACATGTACAAGATCACATTTTATGCAATATTTTTTTATGTTAATGGGTTACAGATACCTTTCTGTGTTGGTAAATATGGGTAACCCTTTGTAGTGATTACCTAGTGTTCTGTTATTTGAATATATTGTAATTTATTTAGCCAATTCCCCATTGCTAGACATTTAGGTTCTTTTTTTTTTTTTTCCTAGTATAAACACTGCTGCATTGAATATGCTTACAAATGCATCTTTATGCATTTGATCTGGTTCTTTCCTTTAAGAGAAAATCCTAGAAGGGAGATAATGGGACACTGAGTATGCCGTGCTTAAAATTTGGATACATTTTGCCAAATAGCTCTTCAGAAAAGCTAGTGCCACTTTATACTTCCAATGTGAGAGTGCTAGGAATAGATTCTTTTTAAATCATTAACCTAGTATAATTCTCTTTGCAGATTGGCAGTGTTCTGAAAGTCTTTGGCAGGAACATTAGACATCATTTTATCAACACTTTCCAAAGCCTGTCTTTTCTTGTGAAATACTGATTCTGTGCAATAGGCTGTTTCATAAGTATTCTGAGGATAAAAGAGCTCCATGGTTCCATAAACTTGGGAAAAGCTTTTAGAGTGAAACAGGCTTCTTTCCTGCAGGATTCATCAACACTTCTATTTTTTTTTCTTTTAATTTTTTTCAGCTGTATTAAGGGATTAATTGACAAATAAAATTGTAAGGTAATTAAAGTGTACATTGTGATGATTTGATATACATATATATTGTGAAAGAATTCCTTCCATCTAGTCCGTTAACTAACACATCCATCACTATATATATATATATAGGTGAGAATATTTAAGTTCTACTCTCTTAGCAAATTTCAGTTATATGATACGGTGTTATCAACTACAGTAACCATGTTATACATTAGATCCTTGGACCTTATTTATCTTATACCTGAAAGTTGGTAATCTTTTACTAATATCTCCCTATTTCCTCTACCCCTGACAACTACTTTTCTACTCTGTCCTTTTACGAGTTTGGACTTTTTAGATTTCACATATAAGTGATATTATACAGTATTTGTCTTCCTCTGTCTGACTTATTTCACTTAGCACAGTGCCCTCAAGGTCCATCCATGTTGTCACAAATGGCAGGATGTCTTTCTTTCTCATGGTCGAATAATATTCCATTGTATATGTACCACCTCTTTATCCCTTCATCCATTGATGGATGGTTGTTTCCATATTTTGGCTGTTGTGAATAATGCTGCAGTGAACTCACAGTGCATATATATTTTCAAATTAGTGTTTTCATATTCTTTGGATAAAATCCCAGAAGTGGAATTGCTGGATCATATGGTAGTTCTACTTTAGTTTTTTGAAGAACCTCCATACTGTTTTCCCTTTAGAAAACTGTCTATTCAGTTCCTTTGCCCATGTTTTAACTGGATTGTTTGCTATTGAGTTGTGTGAATTCTTTATGTATTTTGGATATTAAGCCCTTATCAGGTATATGATTTGTAAGTATTTTGCCATAGGTTGTCTTTTTATTTTGTTGATGAAGACAAAATGTGGAAGTTTTTTAGTTTGATGTAGTCTCACATATTTATTTTTGCTTTTGGTGCTTGTGCTTTTGGTGTTGATCAACACTTTTAATGTGCTAATATGGATTATTTATTTTAGGATGAGGATGAGGCTATAGTATGAAGTATTTTTCAAATTAATTTGACCACAGAATCAGTTCTTCAGTCAGCATGTTACATTAGAATTGAGCAGAATATGTTTTGGGAAATGCTGATCTTGCTCAAAAATGCCGATCTTTGTTATGTTAGTGTCTCACCTAAGGTTACTAACTAGTTACTGGCAAAGCCTAGATTCTGGCTTCTAACTCCTAAATCAAGTGTACCTTCTACTGCAATATATTGTACAAGTTAAGATCTCATGATATATTAAATATATGAGTATAAACAATATGATTCAGTATAGGTTTTAAAAATTGTAATCTAAAACTTGGTTAGATGAAATACAGGTACTGTTTTTGGCTTTGTTTCCCTGATCCCTCTCACAATGCCTTAAAAAAAACCCATATATTTTACTTCCCACAGCATCAACTTAAACTTAGTACTTTATCCCAAAGTTCTAAGATGTGTAAATTTTGTTGTATATGCTCCACCTGGTGGTGGAAAAGATTGTCTGCATGCTCACTCAGCTCCCTCCCAATGTAGTTGAAAATAGTTGGTAGATTAAAGTGGTAATCATAAGAAAAAATTATTTATCTTAATTTAACTTAAAAAAATATAACTATACTTTCCTTTGGCAGTCTTTTAAACTGTGGGCAAACGTTTTCTTTGCATATAGGTCCCTTGTTTGGAGTTTAGGTCTTTCTTGCTTAGACCATTGTATTGTCTACAATTTCTAGTTTTTTGAAATCAAGAACAATTTTTCAATTGTATATTTATGTTTGAAAAAATATATTAAATGAATGAAGTGTTTTTATTATAAGAGTGCATCTGTATTATGGAAAATTTAGAGATAAACAGTATTAACAGCTTGCTTCTAGCCTAGGGATCATGAATAGATTTTAGATTATAGAATCCTTTCTCATTGATTAATAATTGTCTAGATTATTTGTGTGTTTTTCTCCCCATTATGATAATGCAGTCAGCATATTTAATGCATTGTATATATCTTTACATAGCTTCCTAGGATGAATGACTATGAGTCAGGTGGAATTTCTGAGTCAAGGGCTTGGCTGGAAAATGATTTTTATATATTTTTTGAGTTGTCCTCAAGAAAGGATATATGAGTTTGTACTCCCATGAAAATGGTGTATGAGTATTATTTCCTGTGTGTACTGAATGACACTCAAGGTTTCATTACTTTAAAAATATTTGCTAATCTAATAATGAAAAATGGCATCTCATTGAAGTGATTTGCATTTCTTTGATTGATAGTTGGCTTTGATATTTCTCATACGGTAAGACTGTTCTCATTTTTCCTTTTTTAAACCAAATTTTAATGAAAAATTGTTACCTTATTACTATCACTACAGCATAATATAGCATAATTTTAAAATTTACCTATTTTTTAATTGGTAAAAATAGCTAACATAAAATTTGCCATTTTAACCATTTTTAAGCATACCATTCAGTGGCATTAAATTTATTCACACTGTTTGCAACGAAGTTTCACTACCATAGGTCGGTCTCCAGAACGTCTTCATCCTCCTGTACTGAAACGCTGTACCTATTAAACAGTGACTCCCTATTCCTCCCTCTCCAGCCCTTGGCAGCCACCGTTCTACTTTCTGTCTCTATGAATTTGACTAGGAAATTTAACCATTGTTAAGTGTCCAGTTCAGTGGCATTAAGTACATTCACACTTTTGTGCAACTATCACCATTTAATCCATCTCCACAACTGTTTCGTTATCCCAGACTGAAACTTTATACCCACTAAATAATAACTCTCATTTTCTCCTCCCTTTAGCCCCTGGTAACAGCTGTTCTACTTTGTGCGTCTCTATGAATTTGCCTACTCTAGGACCTCATATAGGTGTATAATCATACAGTATTCGTTCTTTTGTGACTGGATGGCTTATTTTAGCATAATGTTGTCAAAGTTCATCCATGTTGTAGCATGTGTCAAAATGTCCTTCCTGGGCTTCCCTGGTGGCACAGTGGTTGAGAGTCCGCCTGCCGATGCAGGGGACACGGGTTCGTGCCCCAGTCTGGGAAGATCCCACATGCCGCGGAGCGGCTAGGCCCGTGAGCCATGGCCCCTGAGCCTGCGCATCCGGAGCCTGTGCTCCTCAACGGGAGAGGCCACAACAGTGAGAGGCGCACGTACTGCAAAAAAAAAAAAAAAGTCCTTTTTAAGGCTGACTAATGTTTCATTGTATGTATATACCATGTTTTGTTATTACAGTCATTGTTGAAGGACACTTGAGTTACTTCTGTCTTTTGGCTATTGTGATTAATGCTGCTGTGAACATGGGTGTGCAGCATAATTTTTTCTTTACTTTTCCATTTTCTTTTGATCTTTAACCATATATCTACACTAAAAAAATTTTCTTAACTGTCATTAAAATGTGCACATGATTCTTTTTTCTGCTTTTTTTTTTAACGTAGCAAATAGTTTTCTGTGCTGCTATTGAAACATATCATCAAGGTGAACAATGCCCTAGACTTAGAGTCATGAGGCCTGGGTTTATGTCCCATTTCTGCTATTGACTGTGTATCCTTAAGTTATTTAGCCTCATAGATCTCTAGTTACCTCATCAGCAAATTAATTATATGGTACCCACTTCATAAGGTGTTTAAGAGCAATAAGGTAATATATATGCAGTGCATTTTAAATTACAGAGTGCTACTTAAATATTCAAGTTACTATTATCTGTGTAATATAGACAATTCTGTTGTTGGAAATGTAGGTTGAAATTTTTTTTTAATTAACTTATTTTTGGCTGTGTTGTGTCTTCATTGCTGCACACGGGCTTTCTCTAGTTGTGGTGAGCGGGGGCTACTCTTCGTTGCAGTGCTCGGGCTTCTCATTGCGGTGGCTTGTCTTTGTTGCAGAACATGGGCTCTAGGCACGTGGGCTCAGTAGATATGGCTCGCGGGCTCTAGAGCGCAGGCTCAGTAGTTGTGGTGCATAGTTGTTCCATGGCATGTGGGATCTTCCCAGACCAGGGCTCGAACCCATGTCCCCTGCATTGGCAGGCGGATTCTTAACCACTGCGCCACCAGGGAAGTCCGGAAATTTTTTTAATTTTAAAGTTATGCATTGAATGTCATGCACAATTTGTGTTTTGTTTGTTTCAATAATCTCCTTAAGATACCCCTGTAAGTAAGATTTTTCTTAGAGAATATGAACAGTTTTATGAATCTGGCTACTTAGTTCTTGCCATAGAGTTTTTTGAAAGGATTATGTAGTTCGGTTGGCAGTTGGTACCATTTTTCGCTTACCTCTGGGTTTTATCCTTAAAACATTTCCTTTTGGTTACTTTTTTATAGGGATAGAATAGTACTTCATTCTTGTTTAATGTGTTTGTCTTTCTTTTTAAACATTTGATCTAAGAACAAATTATTTTTTAATAGCAAGTGGCAGATACTAATGGAAGAAATTTCACTTTGCTTAAATGGAAGCAAAGAATGAAGAACTGTTTTATTTTACATATGAAAAACAAATTTTTTTAAAGTCCATTTTAAGATATTCTAGTTTGTACTTTTTGTTATTTTATTGAAATCTAGGTATCAATTATCTCTCAGTAGCTTCTAATATTGGGAATCAGTTTTATGAGAAATTTACTTTACAGGGCTAGATTCACTCACTGGAAATATTCAGAACTCACTTCTTGATGAAGAAAAAGTACACTCTAGTTCAGAACGTGGCTCTCGTCAAGGAAAGAAATCTAGGACCAGTAGCAAACTTTCTGTTAAAGATTATGAGCAGACTCTTGACACTGATAGCACTTTGGAGGATCTTTCTGGGCATTCTTTGAGGTAAAGTAATGCATATTTTATACTGTAATTCATATTTAATTAAAGTTACAATATCATTGATCAGAGAATTCACTTAATAAATTTATTTTTTTTTGTGGTTTTGTTCATAGCTCTAGTCGTTATCTATATTTTAGAATATAGTCATCTCTCACCTAAACAATTACAACCACTCCCACAGGAATTCTCTGCCTCTAGCACAACCTACCTTTCTATTCTAAATGCCATTGCCACAGTTGTTTTCTTGACTCAGTCCTTTGCCCAAGCAACTACTCTCCTTAGGGTACTCTGGGAGCTCACAGTTACCCCAGAGGTCAACATTAAGAGCTTAACTTTATTTGAAGTGTTATCACTAGGCTACCAAAGACTATCTTATTTCCTTTGTTTATACAGTTTTCTTCTCAACTGTATTCTTCCACTCTTTAAACACAACCACTTAGTGTTCTTTTGATATCATTGTTTATTTGTACCTCTGAACTTTTCTCTTCTGCTCAACTTATTAGATGACTCAAGAAGATTTTGAAATCTCACTCTTACATTGATTATGGAACTTGTACACTCTGATTTTTTCCTTCTTTTTAATATCATAATATATTATGCACTTAGCCTATTGCTTACCCATAACTATTGCTTTATGTACAGTTCCTACTCTGTCTCCGTGACTTTTTATCTGCTGCACTGGTTTTGTCCTGGAAATTTAAGCTCTGAGAAAACATGAATATTTCTTTTTAATTTTAAAACCATGTGCTTTTTCTAGTATAGTGTCACATACAGATAATCATTTTTAATGCTTTCATGTTGCAGATAATGCTGTATCATTAATACCATCATTGCTATGTTTAAAGTTGAATTTTAATTTCTTTGTCAATGATTTTGGAATTCAGAAAACTTTACCTTTCCTTAAGAGATACTCTGATGATTTAATTGGCAAAATCTACAAAGTTAAACATTTCTGAAACAGAATCCATAGCCAAATAAGTTGATAAATACTGTAGTCTAGACCCCCACTTTTCCACCTGTGGAGATTCACAGTGGATACAACAATTTGAGGTTTTGATACAATGGAGTCCAGATTTTTAAAAAATTATTTAACCTGTTTTTTTCTTAACTTACATGGCTATAGTCACTGTCTGTCTCCACACTCTT